TTAGACTAACTTAATAAAAATAAATTACAAAAACAACAAAGCCATTTTAAGCCAACCTGAACACAATAGATTACAAAAACAACAAAGCCATTTTAAGCCAACCTGAACACAATAGATTACAAAAACAACAAAGCCATTTTAAGCCAACCTGAACACAATAGATTACAAAAACAACAAAGCCATTTTAATACCACATGAATTACAAAAACAACAAAGTCATTTTAATACCACATGATAATGAATTACAAAAACAACAAAGTCATTTTAATACCACATGATCAATGAATTACAAAAACAACAAAGTCATTTTAATACCACATGATCAATGAATTACAAAAACAACAAAGTCATTTTAATACCACATGATCAATGAATTACAAAAACAACAAAGTCATTTTAATACCACATGATCAATGAATTACAAAAACAACAAAGTCATTTTAATACCACATGATCAATGAATTACAAAAACAACAAAGTCATTTTAATACCACATGATCAATGAATTACAAAAACAACAAAGACATATTAATACCAAATGACAATGAATTACAAAAACAACAGTCATTTTAATACCACATGATCAATGAATTACAAAAACAACAAAGTCATTTTAATACCACATGATAAGGAATTACAAAAACAACAAAGTCATTTTAATACCACATGATCAATGAATTACAAAAACAACAAAGTCATTTTAATACCACATGATCAATGAATTACAAAAACAACAGTCATTTTAATACCACATGATCAATGAATTACAAAAACAACAAAGTCATTTTAATACCACATGAACACAATAATTACAAAAACAACAAAGTCATTTTAATACCACATGATCAATGAATTACAAAAACAACAAAGTCATTTTAATACCACATGATCAATGAATTACAAAAACAACAAAGTCATTTTAATACAACATGATAAGGAATTACAAAAACAACAAAGTCATTTTAATACCACATGATCAATGAATTACAAAAACAACAAAGTCATTTTAATACCACATGATCAATGAATTACAAAAACAACAAAGTCATTTTAATACCACATGATCAATGAATTACAAAAACAACAAAGCCATTTTAAGCCAACCTGAACACAATAGATTACAAAAACAACAAAGTCATTTTAATACCACATGATCAATGAATTACAAAAACAACAAAGCCATTTTAAGCCAACCTGAACACAATAGATTACAAAAACAACAAAGTCATTTTAATACCACATGATCAATGAATTACAAAAACAACAAAGCCATTTTAACACCACATGAACAATGAATTACAAAAACAACAAAGCCATTTTAATACCACATGAACAATGAATTACAAAAACAACAAAGCCATTTTAATACCACATGATAATGAATTACAAAAACAACAAAGCCATTTTAACACCACATGATCAATGAATTACAAAAACAACAAAGCCATTTTAATACCACATGAACAATGAATTACAAAAACAACAAAGCCATTTTAATACCACATGAACAATGAATTACAAAAACAACAAAGTCATTTTAATACCACATGAACAATGAATTACAAAAACAACAAAGCCATTTTAATACCACATGAACAATGAATTACAAAAACAACAAAGCCATTTTAATACCACATGAACAATGAATTACAAAAACAACAAAGCCATTTTAATACCACATGAACAATGAATTACAAAAACAACAAAGTCATTTTAATACCACATGAACAATGAATTACAAAAACAACAAAGCCATTTTAATACCACATGAACAATGATTACAAAAACAACAAAGTCATTTCCTAACAATAAATAAAAAAAACAAAGTAACAAAGTAATTTCATGACTCGACATCGTAAATGATAAAATATAAATTCAAAAAATAAAGATAATTGTATCTTCACCTGCAGAACAAAATGCTGCTCTGAGTTCATTTGAAGTCACCTTCAGATATCACATTGTTTGCAGCCTTCCACACAATACAACAAAGCAATACCATTTAAGGTGTGACAATATATTGCAATAAATAACATCGAAAATCACTTCCTGTTTCTTTAATCTACAATCTACAAGATCTACGAGAAGTCTGCCTACAGTCTCCTTTGAGTTGATGCCTAAAATAAGTCGTGTTTCCTAGATTCATCATTTTGAAATGCAATACGTTAAAGCGGATATGTGCCAGCATGTGTCATGCGGAATACCTTTACCACTGAAGCTCGTGAATGGTTCGTGTTAGGTGACCTATCCTACCACTATACCTCGACAATGTCTCTTTTTTGTCCCTGTTTTAATGCAGCATCTGTGCTGGACATTCAGTTTGACAATGTAAGTGTAAAATGACTGTAGAGTGATACGTGTTCAGATTATAACAGCCCGATGGCTTCCAGACTGTAAATGAAGTGAAAATCTGATATAATATCCTCCAAGTCCTATAAATATGATTTTACTTAACTAGGTAACGGAGTTGTGCTGGCAGTATAATGTCATCTCCTATCTATAACCAAGGACGTTTATAGTGCACCCTGAAGTTGAACGGAAAAGCATCATAACGCCATGTTCCGTTATAACACTATCCATTAGTTGTCCTTACTTTAAGAAGACAAGAACATTTATTTACCCTTTGCATGTTTGACGGAAAAATTAACATTTATCCATACTTCTCGAAATAAGTCCATATAAAATTCGAGCAGGGCATTCACTGTTGATATGTTAATTATTGGTATCACATCCTCTTTTTATGGCATTTTCTCTTTTTCCTCCTCATTTGGTTTGTGAAATCTGCCCTGACATTTTGATTTTTGTCGTTTCGGTGAACTCGTATACATTTTAAAGAGAGGCCACTCGATGTGGATGTTTTATTACCCCGACATGTGATCAACTTAATCCAGTCAAATTTGCTTTCCAATATAGCGGGCATAATAATGTGCATTTATTGTAATGGTAAATGGAAAGATGAAAGATGATTTATCCGATGATTTCATATTTCATGAGGGCATGGAGTCATTTTCGCACTCAGAAAATGTGACATTTGAATATTTAAATTCACAGTTTCCTAGCCGCCAGGACCATCAATCATTTATTTTACCGAAACAATTAACAGTTCGAGGTACTAAGTCTGGTGATTTTTTTCTGCGGAGAAATGTTCATAGAAGTTTATTTCATGAATTCTCTGAGATAACTATTTTTTTTTCTTTATCTATTTTTATTTATTTTTTTTCTTTTAGCAAAATCAGATCGATTTTGATGTCTTTTATTGGGGACGACTTGATGGAGAGGCTCGATAGCCAGAGGACGACACCGTTCTATCATCCCTGCACGTGATCAGTTTAATCCAATCAAACACGTAGTTGTGTAAGTGAGGAATGATATTCTATAAAAGTTCAAGTCTAAATAGTTATACATGTATGATATCAGCAAGTTCAAGGAGATAGCTAAGTGGCTGATCAAATCATGATGACGTTCTCAGTGTCATTTTGATGTTCTCCGTGTGTATTTCTATGTTACCAGTTGTTATTCATTTGTGATCATTTTGGCACCAAAGATGAAAATATTGAACAACATTTGGCAGAATTGGTCCCCTTTACTAATTATGGTATACACTGCTACCTGCCATGTGCTAACTACCACTCATAGTACGATCAAATCAGGGTTACAATCTTATTGTGATACTGGAATTAATGGTATGTACATTTCCAACTCCAAAGAGTTTTTAACAATCACTGAAGCGTATTTTGTGAAAAAATATGTCCAAATACAAGGAAGAAATAAACAGAGGAAGAACATATGTAGACACCATTCAAACACCAATAACAACGAAGTGTGCCCTTCTCTTGTCTGACTTTTGTTTTCATACGAGCATATCAAAACTGGTTACAAAGACCTTGCGCAGACCTCCAACCTTCACTCTCTCATATACTGATGATTGGATCAGATGTCACACTTGACATCGTATTTACCTGTTTCAGTTACTTAGTTTCCAGAGTTAAGACATCACTATCACTTCTCCGAGAGGGGGCACTGCCCGACCTCCAACAACTAATAAGTTTCAACCTCCAGCTATATCTAATAACATACGGTTTAGTGATTGTTTCCATCTTTTTTGATAACCACATGCAGTGCTGCTGGTTGACATGTTATATGATGCCATCACATTGCTTTCAGATGCCGTAAAGTATATTTTTATTGAAATGCAATGTCTTACTGAAAACAATGTTCATGATCCTTGAATTTAAATTTCATAGCGCCATTAATGAATAAACAAGATAAGGATAGAATTACTTGAATTGACAGTCGCTGTATCCCTGACCTGGTAGTGACACGACGTCGGTGTTAGCACAACTGTTACCAAGTTGTATGATAAGTGTAATGATTTCAAGTTCTAAATTGTGAGTTTCTGAAGAGCAATCTCTCTGCTCAATCTTACGATTTTTGTACAAGGTGTTAGAACTGACAGACAAACTCAAATCACTGAGTCTCGATAGATGCTGGTTGATGAAAATATAAGGATGTTTTATGGTTGTTATACTAATCTCATTGGGAGTTGTTGAACATGTTTGATGTTAGTTAGTGTAAATGTTGTTCTGTTAACGATTACCGTGTTCTCATTTCGGAACGAGACCATTCTTTCTTAATTTTACCAAAGTTTACCTGATAGGAGTTGTCAATGAAACAGAAGACGCTTACACTTTCGTAACGCCTCGTTTATTTTACTTATACTTTTGTCAGGAGTTCTCATGTAAATCTTCCTTCTGCTCATATTTTCGCTAACTTTAATGAGTTCAAGTTTGGATTATGATTTTGTTGACATGTTGTTTTTTTCTTGTTGTTTTGGTAAATTATTATTGCTATCATTTGTAATTAACCTATATCATATCAGGCGAGTTATTAAATATATTCTGTGTTTCCGTGCGCTCCCATGTGTACCTTAAATGTAATGAAAAAAATTAAAACTAAATGATATATTGTGTCACGCCGGAAACCGTATCCAAAATAATGGCGCCATGCTGACATTGGCAGTTATCCATAACGGCAGCATAACGGCAGGTGCGAGTGTCTAATTAACGACAGGATGCTTTCTGTACTCTGAGCAAAAATCGGTCAGACGCACGAACTGACTTCGTTAATAACGTGATTAAGTAAAACGTAATCTCAAAATATCGTGTCGTTTTGTCTATCTTCTTATAGGAATCAAAGGAGATAAGTAGGACAACCCAATGTGTCTATCAAGTACGAACAGGTCGTGTGCTGGATACAGGGCATTGACACCAGAAACATCCGGGCACTTTACAAATGTATCTGTCATTACGTGCAATAATTATATATACTTCCTTTCAAAAAAAACACAAGAACGATTTTACTCTGAATGGCCTGTCAATGAGTTTACCTTCACCGTTATTATTAACTTCGAAATAAGGACAAACGTCTTCTTTACCTAATTCCTTTGTGACGTCACATTCCCCAGCTTGGACTAACATCATGTTTGTTGAAACATTAAACATATTACGTTGTCGTTCAAATTAACCACACAAAATTAGTTCAATATACACTTTATATTTTCAGACACTGACCATGTATAATATTTATCACGCACCATTACTTGGAAATTAGACCATCAAAGCGCCAGCAATCTTTGTTTGACATGATGTTGACGTTACGCTGAATATTGCCTGATAACCTACGCCAAATGAACTGCTCCGCCCAGAATTATAGTTCAAAATTTCAACGAATTTTATGAATTTTCGTAAACTAACTTGTTCTTTACAACATATAAAATTGCTAAATTCAACAGCGTTTTTTTTTTGTTAAACGCATGCTTTATTTTTATTTGTTTAACGTATCTTTCAAGTAAATACATAAAATCATTCTATTGAAGTAACTGGAAAAGTTCTACCATCAAGTTCTACCATCACTGGGAAAGTTCTACAATCAGGTTCTATCATCACTGGAAAAGTTCTACCATCAAGTTCTATCATCACTGGGAAAGTTCTACCATCAAGTTCCAGCATTACTGGAAAAGTTCTACCATCAAGTTCTATCATCACTGGAAAAGTTCTACAATCAGGTTCTATCATCACTGGAAAAGTTCTACCATCAAGTTCTATCATCACTGGGAAAGTTCTACCATCAAGTTCCAGCATTACTGGAAAAGTTCTACCATCAAGTTCTATCATCATTGGGAAAGTTCTACCATCAAGTTCTATCATCACTGGGAAAGTTCTACCATCAAGTTCCAGCATTACTGGAAAAGTTCTACCATCAAGTTCCAGCATTACTGGAAAAGTTCTACCATCAAGTTCTATCATCACTGGAAAAGTTCTACCATCAAGTTCTATCATCACTGGAAAAGTTCTACCATCAAGTTCTATCATCACTGGGAAAGTTCTACCATCAAGTTCTATCATCACTGGGAAAGTTCTACCATCAAGTTCTATCATCACTGGAAAAGTTCTACCATCAAGTTCTATCATCACTGGAAAAGTTCTACCATCCAGTTCCAGCATTACTGGACAAGTTCTACAATCAGGTTCTATCATCACTGGAAAAGTTCTACCATCGCTAGTGATAATATAAAATTTCTTATTACTGTAGTGGTGATGCAAGTTTTTATCAAACTGATAAATTCCTGTACTTCACAGACAAAAACGTGGTAAATATACTTTACTGTCAAGGTTTCAACATCATTTCTTGAAATTGTAAGATTATCTCTAAATTTAATTTAAAGGATTTTAAAATTTATATCATCAATAAGACAGACAAAAAGTCTATAGAGCGCCCGAGGTAATTGCATACAGTGAAAATAAAGATCATTACGTTTATAATTACAAATGTGAAAAAAAACCATTTGCTACCGCGAAATGCTTAATAGAACATAATGAACATAAACTTCCTATTATCTTTAACAACCTACTCCTGTGTGGCAGGTTTTTCTCCCAGCAATATTGAATGGAAATCGTGATATTGAGAACGAACATTTGAATATAGAATGGTTCAAATTAGTAAAATATCAACACACTTATAAAACAGGTGGATGGAGAATGATTCTGATGGTATCATGGTCAAGATGGAGGTCAGAGGTTGATGAAGAAGAGTTTGTAGTGTCCTTGATTTCCCATTCAGATTGGTATAAACGATGAACATGGTTAATAGATAAGAAATAAGAAATCAAGATCTATATCAAAAAGTGAAATTGAAGAACTTAGCAAGGCTTTCGTGACTTGTTTCGATAAGCTTCTCGATAAGTTCAGCCTTGTATGAAAATAAACCGGTAAACAAAAAGGATCACAAAGAGATCATACTGAAGTTTGATCACGTCAGGGTCCTGGCTCAGTCTGTACCAGAATGGCCAGTCCTTTTAGTCCCGATCCGTTAAGTAGGAGACCGCAATGCACTCTTTGAGAGATTGGTCCTGACCATGTGGCCAGTTTGATAACGACAGTCTTGGAGGACAGGTTGTTGCAGTGACGTCATAGTTACCTTGATGTTACTACCATTGTGAAGGTCTCCATCGTGCACAGTCTGTCACACTGAGGCCAGGGATACACCGACGGTCTGGGTTATGTAAGGCCAAGTCAAAACAATTCTGTTCTGACTTATCTTGTTCCTACACTAATGGCGCTATGGAATTTAAATTTAAGGATCATAAATATTATTTTCGAAAAGACGTTTTGTTTCAATAAAGAAACGTAATTTACGGCATCAGAACGCAAAGCGATTCTCCCGCTGGTGTTGCATAACATGTCAACCAGCAGCTCGCGGCACTGCATCTGGTTATTAAAAAGCGAGAAAAACAATAACTGAATCTCATTTCACTTAATATAGCTGGTGGTAGAAATTGATTAGCTGGCAATGAATTACTCCTTCGTTGTTGGAGGTCGGGCAGTGCCCTCTCTCGGAGAACATGATGTTTTAACTCCGGGGACTATGCAACCGAAAGAGTTACATCTGATCCACTAAATCTTAAGTAGATTTTGGAGCCTTGCTACAGCTGTAGGTTTGTCACGTAATACCGGTTACACAGGAGGAAATCCCATTATATAGAAACCGATAACAGAAATGCTGTACATGTGACAATTAAAATACAATTAGTAAATAGACACTTGTCGTAATCTTCCTAATTGTACAACAGAATGACATTTTTAAAAGTAATCTCATTCTAGCAAAGTATTTACATATAGATTTGAGATTTTGGCGCCTTATATTTCCTATAAACTTTTTTTTTTGAGAGAAAAGCATCTAATGTTACCCCGACAAGACAAGCCTTAACTGTCCTTCTTATCCAATCTCCAATCCGTTTATACTGTACAGTTCATATTGAAGTTTAAATGATCACAGTCTTTACATGTTGTCAGTGTGTGGGTTTACCTACCTGAAGATGTTAAACGATATTATCAGTAATTAACGAACACTGTCTAACACGAGGCCAGATCTAGAGTAGGTAGACGGTGAGATTAACTTTCCTAATGAAGCTTTTAATCACAATGTCAAAGAAACGTACCCACTTTATTACAATTTGAGTATTAGTAAAAACACGGAGATGAGCTTTTAAAAGTCATCCATAAAGACGCTGTATTTGGATAATCTATATGTTTTATAGAAATAATGGATGGTTTGTCTGGATTCCCGCACAGTCAATACAGTAGAAACGTTACAAATCGATAGAGGAACGCTGTTCTAAAGCCATAATCAACGGCTGGTGAGGTTGGGAATATTTCACAATCTTTCTTATTATATGTATACATATTAAAAAACGGATAATACTTAGTAAATATACAAATATGATGAATTATATTTTCCAGTTTCAGTTAAGCTTCTAAATGAAAGAGAAAAAAAAGAAATTGATCAACTATGGTAAAAACTCGTGCTTATACCGATTACACATGTAAATACAATCAGAAACACAAATACATCAAACCGGACATGTACATCCCATCTCACACATAAATACATCAAACCGAACATGTACATCCCATCTCACACATAAATACATCAAACCGAACATGTACATCCCATCTCACACATAAATACATCAAACCGAACATGGACATCCCATCTCACACACAAAAAAATCAAACCGAACATGTACATCCCATCTCGCACATAAATACATCAAACCGAACATGTACATCCCATCTCACACATAAATACATCAAACCGAACATGTACATCCCATCTCACACATAAATACATCAAACCGAACATGTACATCCCATCTCACACATAAATACATCAAACCGAACATGTACATCCCATCTCACACACAAATACATCAAACCGAACATGTACATCCTATCTCACACATAAATACATCAAACCGAACATGTACATCCTATCTCACACATAAATCTCACACATAAATACATCAAACCGAACATGTACATCCTATCTCACACATAAATACATCAAACACATAAATACATCAAACCGAACATGTACATCCCATCTCACACATAAATACATCAAACCGAACATGTACATCCCATCTCACACACAAATACATCAAACCGAACATGTACATCCCATCTCACACACAAATACATCAAACCGAACATGTACATCACATCTCACACACAAATACATCAAACCGAACATGTACATCCCATCTCACACACAAATACATCAAACCGGACATGTACATACCATCTCACACATAAATACATCAAACCGAACATATACATCCCATCTCTCACATAAATACATCAAACCGAACATGTACATCCTATCTCACACATAAATACATCAAACCGAACATGTACATCCCATCTCACACATAAATACATCAAACCGAACATGTACATCCCATCTCACACATAAATACATCAAACCGAACATGTACATCCCATCTCACACATAAATACATCAAACCGAACATGTACATCCCATCTCACACATAAATACATCAAACCGAACATGTACATCCCATCTCACACATAAATACATCAAACCGAACATACATGTACATCCCATCTCACACATAAATACATCAAACCGAACATGTACATCCCATCTCACACATAAATACATCAAACCGAACATACATGTACATCCCATCTCACACATAAATACATCAAACCGAACATACATGTACATCCCATCTCACACATAAATACATCAAACCGAACATACATGTACATCCCATCTCACACATAAATACATCAAACCGAACATACATGTACATCCCATCTCACACATAAATACATCAAACCGAACATACATGTACATCCCATCTCACACATAAATACATCAAACCGAACATACATGTACATCCCATCTCACACATAAATACATCAAACCGAACATGTACATCCCATCTCACACATAAATACATCAAACCGAACATGTACATCCCATCTCACACATAAATACATCAAACCGAACATGTACATCCCATCTCACACATAAATACATCAAACCGGACATATATGTACATCCCATCACACACACAAATACATCAAACCGGACATACATGTACATCCCATCTCACACACAAATACATCAAACCGAACATACATGTACATCCCATCTCACACACAAATACATCAAACCGAACATACATGTACATCCCATCTCACACATAAATACATCAAACCGAACATGTACATCCCATCTCACACATAAATACATCAAACCGAACATACATGTACATCCCATCACACAAATACATCAATCCGGACATACATGTACATCCCATCTCACACACAAATACATCAAACCGAACATACATGTACATCCCATCTCACACACAAATACATCAAACCGGACATATATGTACATCCCTTCACACACACAAATACATCAAACCGGACATACATGTACATCCCATCACACACACAAATACATCAAACCGGACATATATGTACATCCCATCACACACACACACACACACACACACACACACACACACACACACACACACACATGTACACACACACACACACACACACACACACACACACACACACACACACACACACACTCACACTCACACACACAACACACACACAACACACACACAACACACACACACACACACACACACACACACACACACACACACACACACACACACACACACACACACACACACACACACACACACACACACACACACACACACACACACACACACACACACACACACACACACACACACACACACACACACACACACACACACACACACACACACACACACACACACACACACACACACACACACACACACACACACACACACACACACACACACACACACACACACACACACACACACACACACACACACACACACACACACACACACACACACACACACACACACACACACACACACACACACACACACACACACACACACACACACACACACACACACACACACACACACACACACACACACACACACACACACACACACACACACACACACACACACACACACACACACACACACACACACACACACACACAAATACATCAAACCGAACATACATGTACATCCCATCACACACACAAATACATCAAACCGAATATACATGTACATACCATCACACACACAAATACATCAAACCGGA